GGCTTAGTTGCCTTGAATCTGGATTTGGCTCAAGTTGCCTCTTTTGTGAAAGAGCGCCTTGGCAAAGAGGTCAATGTCTTGCCCTGCATTATTCGCTTGACACTGAAATCTTTTATTTGTTGAAACGCTTTCTTTTTGTTCCTTGTCAAAAAATTCAGTGTTAGCCTTACATTTATCTTCTTCTTTTCACAGGTAGAGATGGGCGGGTGTAGGGGGCCCATAACAACATTTATTGTTGAACCCTTCATCCCACACAACGAAGAGTTTTACCTTAACATTGTCTCAGAGCGTCTAGGGTGCAGCATAAGCTTTTCAGAATGTGGAGGAATTGAAATTGAAGAAAACTGGGATAAGGTGCTTGTAATAAACCTTCCTTAAAAGTTAAAACTTCAAACTTATTTAGTGTGTTAACCAAAAGTTTCTTGAAATGATATATTATGTTTTTTTTTTTGGCACCAATAAAAATGTGTTGGTATGTGTGCAGATCTAAGTGTCTAACTTGATTCCGTTTTCGTAGTTTAAAAGATACGGAAACCCAGTCAATTAGAGCCAAAACTTGTATGCGGGTAGTTGGATTCATTTCTTAATAAAATAATAAAATGAATATCAGCTCATGGGAAGCTAAGACAATCTCATATTAATAACGTAATATAAAATTTCCATTGGAAAACAGCACTTTCATAGTTGTAGTGGAAATGAAAAAGAAGAAGTTTAATACTAATTATGAATAACTGACCAAGTGTTACTTGTACAAAAACTTTTCGAAATATTTCTAAGTTCTTCAACTTCTAACTTGATCTTCATCACCATATTCCTATTATCATATATATTGTTTTGGATCTTAAGTGTCTGACATGCACATCAAGACACAGATCCCATGCCAACAACAGTTTCATGTTGTATCCAACATACATATCATGGTAGAATTGAAGAGTTCAGGCAATATACTTAATGAGTTGTGTTTGCTTTCATCTCTCTTATTGTCTTAACTTATAGTATCACATTTTACATTGGAATTATTATTTGTCCAGGTCAAGACTATCTTTGTCCCGACAGGTGCTTCTTTCACATCAGAAACATGCGCTCCACTTGTTGCAACCCTTCCTTTGGAGGTAACTTTTGCATGATTAATGACTTCTAGAAATATAAATTCCATGTATTTTTATCAGAGGAGTTTGTGTTTCACTTTCCGGGTTGCATTTGATTTTGAGTTAAAATATTCTTCTCAATACAGATCAAAGGGGAAATCGAGGAGTTCATAAAAGTGGTCTTTGCACTATCTCAAGGCATGTATGATCTTTTACAAATTCAATGAAAAATTTGTTTCTAGACAAGTTCAGCAGTTAGTAGAACTGGGCACTAAATATGAAAACTTATTTTACAGATCTAGACTTCACTTTCCTAGAGATGAATCCTTTCACATTAGTTGAGGGGAATCCTTATCCTCTAGATATGAGGGGCGAGCTGGATGACACTGCTGCTTTCAAAAACTTCAAGAAGTATGTTGTGGTTTATGCTTTTCTTCTTTTTCTTTATTCTCATATATAACAAGTAACTGAAACTAAATTGTTGATGAAATGCATGCATTTCACTTTGGCATCTCTGTTCCTGCCTTCAATATTCTCTAATTCGGCTTCATTCTTTGCAGGTGGGGAAATATTGAATTTCCAATGCCATTTGGAAGAGTAATGAGTGCGACAGAGAGCTTCATCCATGGGCTGGATGAGAAGGTATGAGTAGGATGGTAGATGCCTGGTCTGTTATATGAAATTCACTTTGACTCACAGAAACGTTGTTAAAGGAATAGTGTTTATCCTCAGTTCTTCTAAACCTCCAATTACTCAACCCCTCAAATTCAGGGTTGGGCTTAAGAGGAGTTCATAATTTTTTCGATCTTACTTTGTCAATATCTACTAATTACTCCTCTCCCTTTTCTATAATTTGCAACGTTTATCTTTTGAAAGGTAAGGAATCTTTTTATCATATGAGTAAACTCCTATATTTTATTAACCAGAGAAGGGTGGTTAGAAACCTCTTTTTATCTTCTACACTATAATTAGCTTTTAAGTAAGATTTTATTACAACCATTATTTTGCTCTGTTCACTTAAAAGCTTGTGGTTTATAAATCAAAATCCCAAACATAGGCAAAGCAATTTTCAGTTATAAGAGAATTTCCAATGTTTGTAAGAAAAAGGAATTTCTAGTTTTTCTTGAAAAACGAAATTACACATGTTTGGTTTAGTTTCATCGAAGACAGAAGGTTTGCTTGCATATTATTAACATGTTATTTAAGTGTTGCCTTTGTGTCCAGTATACAGTTGTCTGTATTAGGCTCATGTTAATGCAGTCTCTTTTGCTTGCAGACAAGTGCATCTTTGAAATTCACTATTTTGAATCCCAAGGGACGAATTTGGAGTATGGTAGCTGGAGGAGGTGCAAGCGTGATTTATGCAGATACTGTAGGGTTCTTTTTGCTTAGCCTTGGTACTTGTGCAGGGTTAAACATCCTGTACTTCTTAGCTCCTTGTTTCACTCAAAGTGCTCTTTATTTACTGATAGTTGTTGCTGAATCAGGTTGGAGATCTTGGCTTTGCTTCTGAGCTTGGAAACTATGCAGAATACAGTGGAGCACCAAACGAGGAGGAGGTTTTGCAGTACGCCAGAGTTGTAATTGATGTAAGTTGGCCAATTTTGATCATGATTTTACTCTGTTTCAATAGAAGCAAACCTCAAAGTTCGTAAAGATTGTAAAAAAAGGAAAGGTTATAAGAAATTCTATCTAAATTCCCATAATGATGTCATTTTCAAATTCTCTCTTCATAACCTCATAATCCTTGTTTGATTTCTCCTTGGCTATACGGAAATCCCATAATTTTTCTACAGTGTGCCACTGCAGATCCTGATGGCAGAAAGAGAGCCCTTGTGATTGGAGGAGGAATTGCTAACTTCACAGATGTAGCTGCCACGTTTAATGGCATAATTAGAGCCTTGAAAGAGAAGGTTAGCCATCTAAATCTTAATTAAGCATGGATTTTGGTTCATCATACTGCGGCTTTTGGATGCTTAAATATGATTAATTACTCCATCAGGAATCAAAGCTGAAGGCAGCTAGGATGCATATATATGTTAGGAGAGGAGGACCAAATTACCAGAAAGGCCTTGCTAAAATGAGGGCACTTGGAGATGAAATAGGCATTCCTATTGAAGTAAATATACTTCTATTTTTAGGACTGAATTCCCACATAAATGATATCTTCTTTTGGTATTTATGATATGGATGTTTCCTCATGTAGGTTTATGGACCTGAAGCAACAATGACTGGTATATGCAAAGAGGCAATCCAGTGCATCACTGCAGCTGCATAAGCCTCAGATCAGTCTTTTTTCCTTTTAAAATTTTCAATGTACCAAATTTTCATGTTTAATGTTTTCAATATATGATTGTATTACTAGAAGCAACAATGATATATTTATGAATTTCAAAGAAAAACTATATAAAAGATGCTCTCATGTATTACTAAAAAGCTTATTTCCAATATTTTCTGTTAAACCATTTTTTATTTACATTATATTTGGAAAGGAACTAGATATTTTGTAAAATTAACTTGTGAATTTCACTAAAATGGTAAAAATATTCTCTAAGGCCAAAAGAACAAGGGGTCTCATGTAGGATTCTACATGGAATTGAGACAATGGATTTGAAATATGAATAAAATATAAATTACATTTTTTCATTCACATAAAATATTATATGAACTTAATCATATCAAATAATTGCTTTATGCAAGCGTTAAATTTATATGTAGATTTCATAGAATTTTTGCAGTTATTAGTTCGAAATATAGTATTATATTTGATAATGTATAAAGGTGTTATGTATTATTAGGAGGTGTTAGTCTCATATTGACCATATAAAAATGTGTAATGATTTTTAGTTGTTGAGTAACTTTACTTATGTTGTATTTGGTTTATAAAAACATATTTTATGTTTGTAATACCCTAATCTCGATATGAGGCACAATTGTTATTCACGTCATTTTCATATAATGGACCCCAAACATATATATATGCATATTATCATACACACTAATATCTCATGCGATATATATAGTAATTATATATACAGAACATGAGGTCAAAATTTAAAATTTAACAAAACAAATGAAAATTTCTTGAATATACACAAAATATACATAAACAGGAACCCTTTTACAGGTTCTACTCATCTGATAACAATTGTCTTTTCTTTCTCCTCTAAAAAAGATCCGAGAGAAATTTAATGAGTTTCACCGATTCAATAAATATTTTCGTTCTTTCAACCCATATAAGATTTTATGCAAAAATACACGATATGAGATAAATGCAGTAGTAATGTTTCAATGCAAAATTCATTTATTATTTTCACAATTTTCACATGTTTCTGATCGATTTTTTGAATTTCACTCGAATATCATTCATAATTCTCGAAACATGATCACATACTCTCGAAAGAACACATGTACACTCGAAAAATATACATAAAGAGCAACTTTTTACACGTTTTACTCATCTGACAGTAGTTATACTTTTTGTTTCTCTTCTAAAAAATATCAGGGTAAAATTTAATGAGTTTTACTAACTCAATAAATATTTTCGTTCTTTCAATCCAAATAAAATTTTATGTAAAACACATAATATGAGACAAATGTAATAGTAATATTTCAATGCAAAATTCATTTATTATTTTCACCATTTTCACATGTTTCTGATTGAATTTCTAAATTTAACTTGAATATCATTTACAATTCTCAAAATATAATCGCATACTCTCGAAAGAACATATGTACAATAGAAAAATATACATAAATAGGAACCTTTTTACATGTTCTACTCATCTGACAGCGGTTCTGCCTTTTCTTCCTCATCTGAAAAATATCAAGGTGAAATTTAATGAATTTCACCGACTCAATAAGTATTTCTGTTCTTTCAACCCAGATAAGATTTTATGCAAAACACACAATATGAGACAAATACAGTAGTAATGTTTCAATGCAAAATTTATTTATTATTTTCACTATTTCCACATATTTCTAATCAAATTTCTGAATTTCACTCAAATATCATTTACAATTCTAGAAACATAATCATACTATTGAAAGAACATATGTACACTCAAACAATATACATAAACAAGAACCTTTTTACAGGTTCTACTCATCTGACAGCGGTTATGCACTTTCTTTCTTCTCTGAAAAATATCAGGGTGAAATTTAATGAATTTCACCGACTCAATAAGTATTTTCTTTCTTTCAACCCATATAAGATTTTATGCAAAACATATAATATGAGACGAATGCAATAGTAATGTTTCAATGCAAAATTCATTTATTATTTTCACCATTTTCACATGTTTCTGATCGAATTTCTAAATTTAACTCGAATATCATTTATAATTCTCGAAACATAATCGCATACTCTCGAAAGAACATATGTATACTCGAAAAATATACATAAACATGAACTTTTTTACAGATTCTACTTATCTGACAGTGGTTCTACATTTTCTTTCTCATCTGAAAAATATCGGGGGTGAAATTTAATGATTTTTACCGACTCAATAAGTATTTCTACTCTTTCAACCCAGATAAGATATTATGCAAAACACACAATATGAGACAAATGCAGTAACAATATTTCAATGCAAAATTCATTTATTATTTTCACTATTTTCACATGTTTCTGATCGAATTTCTGAATTTCACT